GGGGAGCAGGCTCCATCCCTGGCCCCTGAGTCCCAGACTTACACTGCAGTAGAAGTGTGATCTGAAAGACCGCCCCTCCACCCCTGCATCTGCACCCCGCTGTGTGATTCTGCATTAAAAGCAAAGCTCTATCTTACCTAGAGTTGCAGGAGAAATGCCCAGAATGCTAATTATTGTTACGCCTGGTATAAAAGGAGACCGCATTTTTTTCTTTTCTTTTCTTTTTTTTACTATGCCCATTTTCTAGCTTTTCTGCGATGAAAATAAGATATTTCGAAATAATATTCTAGGAAACCACCTCTGCTGTATCCTCTGCTTCAGGGTCAAGCTTCTCGAGAGATCATCACTGTCACCTTCCACATTCCCTCACCTCCAGTCTCTGCCCCCCATGTTCCTAGATGGGAACTTCTAGGGAACTCCAGGCCCTCTTTACCCAGCTGCCTAAAACTCTTGTTTCTCCTCCTCCTCAGTCATTTCAGTCCCACACTGAGCAGCTTCGACATCAGCCCTTGCCCACAGGGACGTCTTTGCAGAAAATCTCCTTTTGGAGTAGGGTAAGCCTCATGAAAGCAGCAGCCCTGGCACTAAGTCCCTCAAGTCACGAATGTGTCTCATAGGCACAAGATGGCTGCTGCTGCTCCAGCATTAGGTCTCCTTTCCAGACAGTAGACAGCAGCAGAGCGGAGTAAACCCCCACAGGGACGTGTATATGTGGCGGTTTATGTCACAGAGACTCTTAACTGCGAGGCAGGCTAGCACACCCGTGTTTCCCAGGCTCTACGGTACAAAAGGCAGAGAGAAGCGAGGGCCATGCCTGGCTTTGGAGCAGCATCTCGACAGGCCCTGCGGTGGCTTTCATTTCAGCCACATTTAACTCACACTCACCAATGAAGAAAACCAAGACTCAAGGGACAATACCCACCACCTCCTCCTGGAAGAATTCCCGAGTCCCCCAACCCCAAGCTGAGTGGCAATGTGCCCTTCTCCGAGCCGGCTGGGCCCACATCTGTGTTGCCATCACCAGAGTCTTTAGTGGTCAGTGAGTCTCTGCAGGAGAGCCTGCCTGCTCTGCTGGCCCAGGGCTTGGGGAGGTCACAGCCTAGAGCTGTACCAGGAGTATTTGCTGGGCGATTTGTGATGTTGTGGCTCTTTCTACTTGGGATGTGAGACCCCTGAGGTGCTAAAGCATCACTTTAGAAGAGAATCAGCAGAAACAAGTTTTCAGAAACAGGCCCCCTCAGAAACAAGGGCAGCCCCAGCTTATTGTGGCCAGAGCTCAGCCCAGACCCTGTCCAGCTGAGTATCTCCAACTGGCCACTGCGCCTGAGGCCAGCGACTTGCTCGAGTGGCAGCGGAGGCCTGGGGCGCGCCTCCTGGGCAGCGGACAGCCGGACTGTCCGATCCTCCACAATGTGGTTTGTGTTACTGCAGCCCAGTCATGGAAGGGGCTCCTTGAGTCGTGCAGGAAGCAGAAAATATCAGATTTAGAGCCTACATTCCATGCATTGTATGTAATTACCCGCTGTAGCTACACAGCGGCACAAGGGACCCACAGAGGCAGAAAATGGGATTGCTCCCTGGGGCGGCGCTCTCTGGGGAGGCCGTGCAGGTCCCCTGGGCGTGCAGGCGGGAGCAGAGGCCAGGCATGTAGATGTGACCCCCTCAGGCACTAGTGACAGGTGCGCTGCCTTCCCCTGCAGAGGGGGAGCCTCTCGGCCCCAACACCACATGACCCAAACAGCCCCTCGCAGAGTCTGCCCCGAGGCCAGCACAGTGTCCAGCCACTCAGCAATGTCATCTTTGGTCACTGGGGTGGGAGAGTGGGGTCCTTACGTCACTCTGGGAAGGTTTCCCCAGAGCTCCCCATTCTGAAGAGGGCAAGATTCTCCACAACAGAGATGTCAGTTATGTTTCTTTTGTTTTTTAAAGATTTATTTGTAACTGGGGTAAAGGCCAGTGGTGCAGGGGTGGTGAAAGGATTCACCAGAAAGTGAGGAGCAGAAGAGGCCAACTGACAAGCACACTGAGGGGAGCAGCGGGCGGGCCAGGAGAGGTCTGCCACACCATGTGGTCACCTCCGGGGCAGGCGGGGATCGAACTCATGCGGAAGCGGCTGTAGATTCTCAGTGTTGGACTTCAACCCTCTGCGCCACCAGGGAGGGCCAATGTTGGTTGTTTAAAGAGCAGGTTTATTAGAAAAGGGGTACAGCGGGCAGGGAGGGCTGCCCGGAAAGGGGCAGGTTTGCCAAGGGGCCTGAAAGGCGGCGGCCAGCACGCGGCCCTTCAGGAGTCCGGCTAGCCCACGCCCCGCATGTCTTCTCTGGGCTCGTCCTGGGCCGGTACCTCACTCCTCACTCCGGTGTCTTCACCTCAGGCCTGTGCTCCGGACACTCCTCAGGGCCGACACCTGCCGGGCTTGGCGCCTCCACCTGGGCCTAAGGGTCTTGGAGTCTAACTGGGGTAACGGCTGCGCTCCCGCCTCCGGACCCGCCTCTTGGTGGTCAGGCCCTACCCCGTGAGGCCTCCTTTAGGGTGGCTGTCCTTCCTCCCTCAGCACTGGGCGCCCCACCTCACGCCCTCGGGCCGGGGCAGCAAGGTGGAGCCTCGCTCCTGCACTGCAGCCTTGCCTGTCCCACCTCCGCCCAGCTGGCCAGCACCCCAGGCCCGCCCCCACGGCCCAGTGTCCCGCTGTTCTCGTGTGGTGCTTCCAGTGTCTCATGCTGCATCGACAGCATCGCTGGTGGGACCACTCAGGTTCACAGCCCTGTGATGGCCTCAGCAGGGGCCTCAGTCTGAACACCTGGCCCTCGCTGTGCACGCGCCCCTCGGCTCTGCACGTGCCCCTCGGCTCTGCACGTGCCATGGCCCTGGGCTCTGCACCCGGCCCTGCGCTCTGCACCCGGCCCTGCGCTTTGCACGCAGCCCTGGGCTCTGCACGTGGCCCTGGGCTCTGCACACGGCCCTGCGCTCTGCACCCGGCCCTGGGCTCTGCACCCGGCCCTGAGCTCTGCACCCGGCCCTGGGCTCTGCACCCGGCCCTGCGTTCTGCACCCGGCCTTGCGCTCTGCACGCGGCCCTGCGCTTTGCACCCTGCCCTGGGCTCTACATGCACCCCTCTGCTCTGCATGCGCCAT